CCTTGTCACTAAGGTCGAATGTTGCATCTTGACCTCCAATATATTTGTTCTTGGCTTGAAATAATTTAGTGTCGCGCTTGCTCACTACCTGATTGAGAATTTGTCTATTCGTTTTTAAAAAGATGTATTATTTATCATTTAATATAATACATAAAACACTAGATCTAAAAAAAAAAAAAAAAAACACTGCTCCGCTCACTCTCCTGCAATGCAGCCCTGCTCCACTGGGATCTTCTTCAGCAATTCCACTGGTCTTGTCTTGGGCTGAGAGCTTAAAGTTACCATCATAGATAGACATACTTAAAAGGTAAAATGTTTCACAGAAACAGAATGAGGATTCTGAGGAGGAAAAATAGTAAGTTAAGCGTAATATTATGGGTTTAAACCAGTACAACTGCAGCTTTAGTGAGAACATCTAGCCTAGGTTCAGCGAGGGTTGTGATTTGGGTTTGTTAACCAGCCCCTCCAACCCCCCCTTCTCCTCCTGGCTGCAGTGTTGTCTCGGTGACTGATGAGAACCTGACTGCCGAGGAGAAGGAGCAGAGGGAGCGCGAGCGCCGGCAAGCTAACAACGCTAGGGAGAGGGTGCGTGTGCGCGACATTAACGAAGCCTTCAGAGAGCTGGGCAGGATGTGTCAGGTCCACCTTCAGAGCGACAAGGCCCAGACCAAGCTTATCATCCTGCAACAGGCTGTCCAGGTCATACTGGGCCTGGAGAAGCAGGTGCGAGGTAGGTCAGCCAATACAGGAAGGTCTGATCTACGTAGACAACCAACCATCTCTTATCATAGCTGGACAAAAGGTGCCAGTCATTTACTTATAGGAAAATCTCTTCCTTAATTTTGTTCTGACTTGCTCTGTAGCATCCACTTTGGCTTTCTCTTTGCTATTTGCCTGTATCACTTGGAAAGAGGAATTGTAAAGAAATGGAGAAGAAAGAGAGAATATCTGAGGAAGTATATCCCTGCTTTTCTGCCAAACACCTGCAGTTCTCATCCTACTTTTCATTTTCCTGCTTTCCTTGCTTTTCTTCCTGTCTATTATTGACCTTTTGTATGTTCAAAACTCTGCTTTAATTTCTTAAAAGATTTCTGAGGTCGGAGCATAATGAGCTAATCTTAAGAATTTCCTCACATACCGTTTTTAATTTATGTATGTGTCCTTTTTTTCAAAGAGCGTAATTTGAACCCAAAGGCTGCCTGCCTCAAGAGGAGAGAGGAGGAAAAAGTTTCAGGCGTAGACCCCCAGATGCAGCTTGGTGGGGGTCACCCTGGTCTAGGAGGAGATGGACATATGTAATTCTAAGGTCAGTCTAAGTGGGGTACAGTGGGGTTTCTGGTGTCTGCAAGATAATATAAAGATCTATTTTAAGGTTGTTTTGCAGAAAGATAATTATTCATTTTTCTCCTTTCTCTTTCAGTTCCTGTTGATTGTACAGCCCTTAGAACACGTGGCCTTAATCTATCATTGTCATGCATCTCAGTGTGTGTTAATCAACTTTTGAAAAGCACACACGCACACACACCTCATAACTGACAAGGCAGGTGGCCACATTCCTGACGATGAATACAAAAGTAACAAGCACACTCTTACAGAAAGAGGAAACATTTATTAATCTTTACACATCAATACTTTGAACCCAGGACGCTGGTTTGGAGACTGTGGAAATTGGACATAAGGACATTCTTATGATCGTGTTTTTGTAAGACATTTTGAGAAATTGCTTTACATGTTGGGAGCAAAACTTGTTTGGATCAAATAAAACTTTTCGGATCAATTTGCTCGTGTGAGCAGAGGTAGGATTTGTATTGTTGGATAATTATTGGCATTCCCATCTGAAAAAGAGGTCTTACATTCTTCACAAGCAAAGAGGGACACCCAGGTTTATATCTTGTGATTGAACAAAACCTGTTTAAGCATGTTCCTGAAAGAGGCCTAATGCATAGTGTTTGAGATAGAAATAGCCATCTTATCCTCTCATATGATGACTGAATTACAGACATAGGTTTGGAGACATCCAGCCCCTGACTGGCCAATCAGAGAGCCCACTTCTCTTTTTGATATGCTGGTAACTGGCTGTATTTTTGGAATTTCTTGCTTTGGCTGTAAAGGCGCCACAATCGCTGACTCTCATACGTGGTGGGTTATTTTTTTGTTTATTTTTAACTGTGGATCCCTGAGTCTTATCCCTGTAAGTCCTGTATGTCTGTAATTGTCACGGCCATGCAAGTGGAAAGAAAGACCGCTGGAGAGAGACCCACCACCGGCAAACGTGAGCAAAGACTCGATACAAATCCAGGATCCACACTGATGTTGAATCAAATCCCAACCTTCCCTCTGTGAGGCTGCCCGTTGGACTCGAGCATACAGATGTCATCCTCACTGCTCGCGTCCTTCGCCATCATGAAGTCACTCGCTCTCAGCCTCAGACTCAGCCACGTGGTCAGTTGGGACCTCCTGACTGAAATACAGCCAGTGTAACATCTGCCTGCCCCCGTCAAATCGTACCTGTTCCACTGTTACAGCACGGTGAACTTACTGGTGAATGCAAGTCTCAGAGCAATTTGTATTGTGGTAAAAGACATTTTGCAAGAAGACAGAAATAATTGAGTATTGAAAGGGATCATGAGTGTTACTGCTACCTTGTGGAGAATTTACTCAATCGCCATTGACTGACTTGTTGTGGTTGTTGCTCTGTGTTGAGCGTTTGGTGTTTTTCTTTTTTTTCCCTTTTGAACAATTTGCAAAGCCTGTTGTAAGGATCTTCCTTTTTGTAGAATTGATTTATCATTGTTTTTTACTTTGTAAGATAGTTGTATGAGTTTTGTTTTTTCTAATTTGGAATGCTCTTTCTTTTTTTGTTTACATTGTTTAAATGTAAGACGACTCTCAATTTAGATTCCAGGAACAAAGTGAGGTGTTTTCTTTTGTGCCAGGTGCTTAGAAATGTTAGAAATGACAAAATTATCTGGCTGTAACATCACATGTTGTGATATTGCTCTTTTGTTGTTTTTAAATGCCTGTTTCAACACAAACCTGTCAGGCCAGTTGTAATTGGATTGTTCTGGTGTTTGTGACAGTTTTTTTTTTTTTTCTTAAAATGAAACACAATGTTTTTCTTCAGCACCCCTTCCCTGCCCCTGATGTCCAGCTCTCTGATGAGCTTGTTGATTAATTTGAGGAAAGGGGCAGCGGGGGCGGTCTGCACAATCTGCAACATAATTTTCTGTTTCATTACGATATGAAGCATAAAATTAATCAAAAAGGGTGGCCTTAGTCATTTTCCTGACTTTGGGAGTTTTGATAATGGTTACTCACCAGTGCCTGAATACTTCTCTGCTACATGGTGGATGATGTTGCATTTGAGGATTTTTAGGTTGTACCTTTTTTATAATACAGATGTATAAAAACATATATACTTCAGTAACATCTGACAACATCTAAATGAAGAGTTACTCATTGACGCTGACCGCTTCAGTGTCCGTGTGTCATTAAATGTAAGATGACTAATAACCTGGCCTACAACTTTGACATTGAAAACTGTACTTAAAATTTCTCATATTTTATGAACTGATTTTCTTAAATATAATTTTGTCCTTGACTGGCATGTGCATTGATATGTATGTACAGCTGTATGATATGTCCTCATCAGCATTACCATTGTAAGCTGGTACTGATATGTAACAGTATTTGGTTTACCCGTAATTTTGTCACAAATCTTGCCCTATGGACTAGCCCCAAACATTATTTTCTCTGTCAGTTACTATAGCCTTTCTGCAGAAGAACGTGGTGTTGTTGTGACATGAGAAGTCGCTGCTGAAGACTTATTTTGTAACATGAAAGATATGTCTGCAGTATCCAAGTATGAAAACATGCACCTGATGTTCTTTGTTAACAAACCCTTTCTATCCTCCACAACAGATGAACCTGCTACAGATCTCTCTGTCTTCACTCATGTTTGGGGACAACATCTATGTAGGCTATGTCCTCAAAGTGCCTCCTGTTTCCTATTTTTTATATATAAAGTAGATATCGAGAACTGTTGTGTATATAACAGTAATGTAGCAATAAATGTGCCATTTTTAATAACAAATCCGACCTTTATCCTATGTCTTTTTTCAGCCTATAAATTTATATTGTATGTTCTGCAATACCAGGTAGTGAACCAGGTAGATGATGATGTCTTCAATATTTTATTTGTTAAACTGAGCTTATCAAACTGGGACAGACCAAGCAGGAAGTGATGATTTTAGGCAGCAAACAGAAGTGTACCATGTCTCGATTAGTCCACTATGGGGCAGAAATGAGCTGCACTGTCACCTCCTACTGCCCATAAAGCACACTGCAATGATTACACATGGCAGCTGCATTATATTTTGTACAGAGAATCATTAGCAGTCCTGTGCTGGAATACTACTTGGCTTCAGTTTTTCTGTGAGCACATTAGTATGAGGGAGTTTGAATAAACACACATATATTTAGCTGTAAGAGCAATCTAAACTGAATGAATAAAGAATGCAAATCTTTATTGTCCACTCATGAAAATTAATCTTTGGCTTCATAGAAAGGCATATTGTGCAATAAAAAGTGGAAATAAAACAAAGGGACATGACAAACACAGTTCATACACAGACAGAGAAAACAATAAATACATGGGCCTATAATAATAACCGATTGGGATTAAGGTGCTAAAATAATAACAATAAATTCATATCTAAAATAAACATAAAACCAGCATCAGTCACTAATATTTAATATAATCCCCAGTGTCGATGTGAAGCTCTGGTATAATACAATTATTCTGACACCTGTGTGAGTCAGGGCCTCCTCTTTAGATAATAATGCTATGAGTTTTATAAATACATTTTATTATTATTATTATTATTATTATTATTATTATTACTGTTAGCGACTTTTATTTTTCTAGTAAGCGGAAGTACTCTGCGCACTTGCGCACTAGATGTAGTTAGCAAAACTGAAACGGAAGTCCTTTCGAGCTTTTTAAGCGGCACGTCCTCTGTTAGGACACATTTCAGCTACAATGATCACTAAAGTCATCGGTTCGAAGTATGTGGCTATTGCCAAATCATGGTAAGATCTTTTTTATCCATCGTGCTAGTGATTAAAAAGCCTAAAGGAGTCAGACTTTTGGCTAAATGAATCTTCATGTGTCCTTAGCTCACATTAGCTGTTAGCCTAGCCGAGGTCATTGCTGTGGGGACATGCTAACTTTAGCTCTCTGCCAGTTAAACTCAGGCTGAACATAAATTACATCAAATGACCATTTTAAAGTAAATGCTGTTTTTTTTCTGCTGATCAAAGTAAAAAAAACGATTAAATTCATACCTTTATTACCCAGTTTGAACTGTTTAACTGGACCAACTTTGTCAGTGATCTCCCCAGATAAGAGATCGTTTTCGTTATAGATCAGTCAGAAAGATGATTTCTGCATTAATCATTTAGTCTCCAAGAGTCAGAGATAATATCCAGTTGATGTCAAGTGTTTACTTAGTCTGACAAGCTAACTGATGTCATATGTTTGTATTGGTGAAGCTGTAAATAGCAAATCTGTTGATGTTTTGTTTACAATAAATAAAACAATAGACTGTCAGGATTAAAGTTGCATATTTGTGGCATCCATTTTTCAGTTGTTTCAACACTTCTCTTTTCTGGCTACAAACTAAATAACAGAACTTGACTCTTTAGCTTGACCTGTAGTATCAAGATTTGTGTTTTGATTCCCTAATATAACCTTAGAATGAATGTTTGCTTTCACAGAATTAAAATTGTGAATCGAAACATTTTCTCTGGTCCTTTTCGTTAACTTTGAATGGAAGAAAAATTGGTAAATCTTGACAATGTTCTCTTTTCCACAGGATCCCAACTATGACTGTCTGGGGCACAGTCGGAGGCGTAGCTCTGGTCCACTTTACAGACTGGCGATTGTTTTTAGATTACGTTCCCTACGTCAGTGGCAAATTCAAGGACGAGTAGTGGCACTCAGGTTAGTCCAAGGGATGGCAAAGACATGACTGCAGAAATAAGAGTGGAGGATGTGTAACAGCATGCGATGAATAAGTACACAGTAATCAGAGTGAGGATTATTGTTTCTGCCCCTACTTTACCTTTTAAAATCAGAAACAAGAACCTGACACAAATGCTCTCTAGACATGTATTTTGATGTAGACAATGAATCTGATGAATACAAAGCAACATGTTAGGGTATATTCTAAGACCCTTTGCTCTAATACTCCAAATGTGTTCGATTATATATTATTTACCACAAATTCACAGGATTGGACATGATTTAAAAAGACTCACACCAGTCACCTGCAGCATTAAATGTATGTATTTATTTATTTTTTCAAAATTATAGAGTGATACCCTGGCACCCATTGTGTCTCTAGCCTGGCATCGCCAGAATAAAGCCCTTTTTGCACGGGACTGGTATTACCAGGAGACCTTGTGATTTAGGAATTTGCCTCCTGTCTGTGTTCTGAGCAGGGCATTCGCACAGGATAAGCAAAGTCTGTATTTAATTTACTGACATTATCCCTCGGTTGCCTTGTTAATGAAGCTACTACTGCTGTGCTCTGTGTGTGCGCACCTCGTCTAACTAAAGTCACACAAACTGATCTTTGTGGTGAAAGGTGAAGAAAAGCCTAAAACTCTGCAGACAGTTGCTCACTCACTGCGCCTTGTTAAATTCAGCTCTGTTATATTAAATGGTAAGTTTGTTACCTTGCAAAAAATAAATAATATGACCCTAAATCACAGAGATACGCAAGGGACTAATATTATCACTTGACCTCTGTGGAAATATGGTAGGTCATTTGCAATGGGATTCTTATTTTACAAATGACAGACATGGCAGATTAGCACAGAATTAGGATCACAGACCCCTGATGCAATTATTAGAAATTACTTGCGGCCCCCAGGTAATGATAGTCCCGTGTGAATTAGGGCTTAATTCGCAAATGCAAAGCCAGAGCAAAGGAAACATCATGAGCTCCTCAGATTCATCCAGTTCCCAGGCTCCACATCTTGAGACGTACTGATCTGGTTGATCTGGATGTCGACACAAAAATTAAGTGCCTTTGTAAGTGGTGCCTCTAGTAAAAAAAAAAAAAAACATCAGGTTACACCATCCCTTTGGTGTAACCTGATGGTACCTGTGGCGAGACATAGCAGGGACTGGGAAACTGACAGGACTGAGGAAACAGAGTGAAATTGGGGGACATTATGCCTGGTAGTTTAGAGGTGTCAGAAGACCAGAATCCAGGACAGTGGCCTATTTTAAGACCACATGAAGCTGCTTTTAAGACAGGGATGGGAAGGTATTTAGACTGTCTTGTTAAAGTCTAAACTCTTCTCAAACATGAACAGTGTGGATGTTGAGTGAGTTTTGGATTGTGCTTTTAAAATAAAATAAAAACAAGTTTACAATTTATGAACAAAAGGACAAATGTGCTTTCAAGTGACTTGCTCATGCTCCTTCCCATGTCACTAAAATATGAAATTTTTCCTCTGAACCTGTTGACTTTCTATCCACCTTTGATTTGTCTATCACAGCCAAATGCCCCTCTCTACCGTACAACCTTATGACTTTGATTTCTCCCGTCAGGTCGGTGCTGTTTTTACACTAAGACTTAAATATTGAAAGAACTGCTTCAGCGGGTACCCTGCACTCGGTCCAAGTCCATGCCAGGCCACTGGAAGCTGTCCTCTTCATCCTGCAGAGTCAACACTGAACTGTTCTCCATCAACATCCTATCAGATGCACTGAAGTTTGGCATTTCAACATTTCTCAACCAGTGGAAATGTTAATGGAAGGAATATGAAAACAGAGATGATAAATCGACTTTTCTTTACCTTCCTAGTTTGGGGTCAGGTATTTATTTGAATCATCTGTGGGCTGTGGGTCAAATCTAATTCACAAATGGAAATAAAGCTGTTCTTCGTGTCATGCTGTAATTGTTTGGAAGAGAAGAAGTAAATATGTGAGATTTATCCTATATTGTGGTTGTGTGTAATTATTTCACTTGCAATGGTTTAGATACTGTCTTCAGTGGAGTTTGGCTACACATTGCTGGGACTTAACACTGGGTCGGATCACTTAAGGACATAATTTAAAAATCTGCTTTGTTGGTCGATCCCTTCCTACCGTTAACTAATCATTGAAAATATAAGCTGCTTTACTTTACTTTACAAAAACACTATCAGAGAGCAGCCAAACAATTTGGTTGATTGAATTTAGGTTTAAGATGGTGGAACTACTTTTATGGATTGTGTATCTGTATAAATAATATTTCAGTGTAGACAAATCTTACACTTGTAAAGTTGTAAATAAAGGTTGCCACGGAGATACAGAATTACTGCAATATCTCATAGTTAATGCAGCTGTAGAAAGATCCCTTTAAGTATAAGTAGTAGTGCAATGATGTAAAGTTACTCCATTACCAGTACACGTATATAACATAAACTTAGATAAAAAGTACATAATTATAAGCAGCTAATGTTATCACGCAGAGCCGACATTTGAGGGTGTTAGGAGTTTCGGAGTAACTTGAAAGCAGCATTTTAATGTAGTCAGTCCGGTGGTGTGTCAAACTACTGTAGGCTACTAATACTTCTGTAGTTAGTTTAATGTAAAGAAATGTGTCATTATCTGAGTTTAGTATGCAGTATATTAATAATGCAACTACTAAATCTTACAAAGTAACTACAAACATCGTGGATTCAAAGTACCAGTATTGGTTTAAAATGAAGTCGAGTACAACCTTATATATATACTGTCAATGGGCACAAATAAATACCTCAAAACTGTACTTAACTGTTATACTTACGTAAATACACGTTTTATTTAGTCAAACTACTAGTTATAGTTCAGTAACTGCCCACCTCTGACAGTGTGCAGTGCAAACCACGTGAGATCCGGAGCGTCCTTTTCGGACTACTTTACACGAGCATTACATGGCGGAAGTCTTCGCTCACAAGGCCGGCGGAGTGATCTGCTGTTGTAAACGTCCTGACGGGAGACAGACAGCGGGGATCGATCGATAACAAACCAGAGTCGGCGAAATATTATGACTGCAATAATAGGCAGCTAGCTGGCTTCTTATCATTTATAAGCCAGAATCACGGGCGAGCAAATCCAAACAACCAAGACCATGGACAGAAAAAGGTGGGACTTTTAAATGTGGTCGAAGGACTTGTTACAATTAAAGTTTCTGTGCAGGAAATGCACGCATGCATACGAGCGTTACACTTAGCTAATGATCAGGTCTTTGTTGTCCAAACACTTGTTATTGTAGCTGAACGCGGACGTTGGATAGTTTTGAGTTTATTACATTAGGAAAGTTGCAGCTTCTAACAGCAGTAATTGATTCGCTGGTTGCGGGTACATTGACGTTTCCGACGCTGCTAGCTTGATTAGCTAGCTAAGTTTCATTGTTTACACACGCTTGAGTTGCGGTGCGTTGGGCCCCGCACGGTTTCTGAAACACGGGGTCAAACTGTGAACTGTAAACCGGGAGCTGCTTAAAACCACCACTGCGGGTTCATCCGCTGGCAGGTCTTTTAAAATGAGCAGCTAATACACCAGTCTCAATATATTAGTAGCTTGAAAGGGCAGCCAGTCTTTTATTATTATAAGTTCCTCCTCCTCCCACACACACACACACACACAGACAGACAGGTGTTTCCACTTTGGGTGATTACACCTCTTGTGTGGGCGTGTACAGATGGACTTGATTGACACATCCTGACTCCTTATCCACCTGTTAGGGCTGGACAACCTACACCTTTTGGTCGTTTATAAGTTACATGCAGTCAGGTGGCCTCTGAAGCCCGGCTCCAGCCTGTGAAGATGGTGTATGGGTGTCCAGAGCCTCAGTTACTGAAGAGGTCAGTGTTGTGGTGATGATTTTTGTTTCTCTTTTTCTTTCCAGTGTACCTGTTAAGCGCATCCTCAACAAACCCCAGATAGTCCGTAGTCTGGGAAGCAACCTTCACGTGAATGTGAATCCCAGCCACGCCATTGCCGGACGGACACTCCTGGCCAAAGTGCAGCGCAGCAGGCACAAGCATTATTATGACATCAGCCATCAAATCAAGGTGAGTCTGTTTGTTTGTTTTGGGGTTTATGAGAGGAGCCTGCAGTGCTACTTGAAGGAAAAGAGTGTGCGTGGCGCTCAGTGATCTCTGGACACTATAAAATTTGTGCATGCAGCCCATAAAACACGTTCACTCCCCTTGGACTTTTTCATGTTATTGATTCACGGTTTTGAATCTCAGTGGTTTTAATTAGACGTTTGGTTCCAGTGAATCAACGAGATCAGTGGAAGAATGTTTAGCAATACGTTTTTCTTCAGTCTTAAATGTCTGACACAATCCACAGTATTGTTTTAAACCCAAAACATAGCATTTGGTATGATTAGTATGGCCAAAAAGTTCAGTTTAGGTCTCATTACAACCGTCTTCCTTTCATTCATTCATATGTCATAAGACTTAACGGTGGCTTTCTTTTGCCACTCCCACATTGGGTTAACAGTTGGAGTGTCTGAAATCACTCCTTTGTTAATCACTATGACTTACATAATAAACCTTTTAATTGTTTACTCTAGTAAGTTGTAATGTATGTGCAAATAGTTTATAGTTAGACTGTTGACACTAAATACCGTCTACTATTGTAGGCAGAAAATAGGAACTAGATTATTAAATCTTGGCAGTGCAACCCTGTAGCTACTGAACAGTTGAAGAAGAGTTGCCATAGACGGCTTTAGTCTTTGATATTAAACCTCTCCCACACACATTTAATGATTGATGACTGTGCTACAAGGGAATCTAATGCCTTTTATAAAATGTACATCATGGCAGCCTTTTATCTTTGCTGTTCAGTTTAAGATTAAGATTTTTAACTCCAAACTATTCTTGGATCATAATAATCATTACAAGCCTTTGTAACGTTACATTGTCCCTTTACACTCCATTGAATTAAAAGGGGAATGCATTAGTACCTCCTGCTTGGTACTGACAATACTGAACATACTGCAGTCAATACAACTGTATGTATACAGAAACTTCTCATTAATGTCATTATAATAGAAAATTGATCCAAGTTAGTTATCAGATGTTCATGACATGATGTTGTCTCTGTTGAAGGCCAAGCCTGACTTAAACACAACACTACCAGTTCGACAGACGGCATCCATCTTCAAACAACCGGTGACAAAGGTAACAAATCATCCCAACAACAAGGTGAAGACAGACCCGCAGAAGGCTGTGGACCAACCGAAACAAGTAAGTCAGAGGCCAGAATACATGCACATTTCAGTCCTTTGAACTATCTTTAGACACTCTCCATTTCACCATTGTAGAAAGACCAAGTGAGCCAAAGACAATGTCTGTTCCTGCAAGTAGAGTCCAGAAGTAATGTTCTATAAAACCTGGTGTCCTGATGTTTTGTTATGTCTGTTTATTTCTTTGCTGTTATATACAAAGTGTTGAAGGGTTACTTCACCCTCGTTTAATACATTCCTAAATTAGATAATGATGCACATATTCAGTTTGGGAAAAACTGTACTCAGAACTCAACAAGAATCTCCTTTGTTTGCTTCAATGTTCAGCTGTTCTGGGAGAGGAAGCTGAGCGGGTTAAACGCATTTGATATCGCAGAAGAGCTGGTGAAAACTATGGATCTTCCCAAAGGCTTACAGGGTGAGGGTAACCAAAAACAAATATGACAACCTTTTATTATACAAAGCTGGAAATGTCTTTAGAGGCTTAACTTGTCCCTGTCTTCTGTCGTCCACTTAGGTGTTGGGCCTGCATGTTCAGATAAAACACTGCTGTCTGCCATCGCCAGTGCCCTGCACACCAGCCCCGCTCCTGTCACTGGACAGCTCACCGCTGCGGTGGAGAAAAATCCTGGAGTCTGGCTCAACACGTCACAACCTCTCTGCAAAGCCTTTGTAGTGACTGACGATGACATCCGGTAAGATGTTCACACAGCTGTAGTCCTCACTGTAGGATTGCTCTACATCATCAGTACATACATTTCTTTTTGTCAGTTATTGGGCTCTTTAAGTAGTAAACTGTAATTATGTTATTTGATTAACATGTATCCATCAACAGGGTAGTGTAACATGTTAGTTTTGGGTAATCATGTTAAAATTTCAGAACTAGTTAAAAGGTTATTGGTGTTACATTAATGTCACTTGCATAGTACAAGTATGTTAAGAGGAGTTGCCATTTTCTACATTCACAACTCATCTACAGCTATTTTCTGTTAACATGAGTTCTTTAGCAGTTTCTCTGTAGTGGTTTTAAGTCTATTTTGACGTTTAACCTACATATCCGACTTGTGTTCAGTAGTTGAGTGTTGAGACTTACTTCAAGAGTCCTTAGTTAAGACAACCAAACTGTATCGGTCATTATACTGACACTGCCAAGATTAAG